TAGTACACAACCCGTTCCATTTCCCTGACAAGCCGACTCCAACTCATGGTGACCCCCATGTGTGTCAGAGCAGAACTGTGTTCCACAGGGTTTTCTAAGGAGTGGCTGGTAGGTTTGAACCGCCAGCCTTCTAGTTAGCAGTCAAATGCCTTAAGCACTGCACCACCAGAGCGCCAAGGGATTTCAAATACATAAAGCTAAAAATAGTACAGAACCCGTTCCATTTCCCTGACAAGCCGACTCCAACTCATGGTGACCCCCATGTGTGTCAGAGCAGAACTGTGTTCCACAGGGTTTTCAATGGCTGATGTTTCTGAAGAAGATCAACAGGACCTTCTTCCAAGGTGGCTCTGGGTGGACTTGACTCTCCAACCTTTCAGTTAGCAGCAGAGAGTGTTAACTGTACAACTCAGGAACTCCAATACTATAATGCATGAATCCTTCCCAACTTTAGAGTTGGAGATAAGCAGAGGACAAGGAAAGTCTACTGCTTATTCCTGATCCATCAAGAGATTAGTAAAATGTAGCCCTTACAAGTGACCATCACTAAATGTTCCAGCCTGTCCATCCTCATTGTAATTTTGCTCCATTGCCCAAGTCAAGGGTCCCTATTTGAGTTCATTCTTGATTTTTATTTTTTTTTCCTCTAGCCTCTAGGGAAGGAAGTGTAGATTTAAAAAAAAAAAGAAAGAAAAAGAATATTAATGAAATAAGCAAAACCCTTGACTTTAGAAGCAATAACAACAACAACAACCAAAAAACAAAATGCTGCTAGGTGCCATCAAATCAGTCCCAATTCATAGCAACCCTGTGTACAACAAAACAAAACCCTGCCCAGTCCCGAGCCATCCTCAGAATCACTGCTGAGCTCGAGCCCATCCTTGCAGCTACTGTGTCGGTCCACCTCATTGAGGGTCTTCCCCTTTTTCACTGACCCTCTATTTTACCCAACATGATATCCTTCTCCAGGGACTGGCGCCTCCTGATAACATGTCCAAATTATGAAAGACAAAGTCTGACCATTCTTACTTCTAAAGAACATTTTGGCTGTACTTCCTCCATTCTTCTGGCAGTCCGTGGTACCTTTAATATTTTTCACCAACACAATTCAAATGCATCAATTCTTCTGCAGTCCTCATTATTCACTGCCCAGTTCTCACAGCATATAAAGCTACTGAAATACCATGGCTTGGGGTAGGTGGATATTAGTCTTCAAAATGACATCTTTTCTTTTTAAAACTTTAAAGAAGTCCTTTGAGCCGACTTGCCCAATGCAATACGTTATTTGATTGTTTCCCTGCTGTTTCCATGGATGTTGATTGTGGATCCAAGTAATATGAAATCTTTGACAACTTCAATCTTTTCTCCATTTACTAAGATGTTGCTTAATTGATCCAGTTGTGAGCATTTTTGTTTTCTTTGTGTTGAGGTGTAACCCATAGTGAAGATTGTAGTCTTTGATCTTCTTCAGTAAGTGCTTCAAGTTTTCTTCATTTTC